TGAAAAAAGGAACATTTCAATGTCTACTACATCAATCTGTTTGACAGAAGCTGGTGAAGATATCACGAGGTGGACCTTCAACTCAGCCTGGAGGAAACTGTGGCCAGAACCAGAACGTGTCACTGAGTGTGACTTTGAAGGGTCTGATGCACAGGGAGTGCAGGAGCTTGTGTCCATGGGCAAGAGTGTGGGTCTGGACGTTCATGGTGTATGCATAGAGGAGCTTGTTGAGGACTGTAAGAATGAGCTGACAACAGAAAAACTTGCTGAACTCGATTGAGCAGAAGACACTTGTTGAGGAACATTCCACTGAGGAAGAGGAAGATAGGGAGGAGGTTAGCAGTGATGTGATACAATCTAATATGGAAATGGGACGAGTGCCAGGATTTCTTTTTCTTGAGACAGGGTCTTGCTATGCAGTTCAGGCTGGCCTTGAGCTCACTTTGTAGCCCAGGCTGGCCTTGAACTTACAACCTCCTGCCTCAGCTTCCCAAGTGCTGAGATTACAGGCGTGTGCCACCATGCCTGGTTTGAGTGCAGGATTTCTTTGAGAAGCACCCCCCCAACATAACTGTAATGACACCGTTGAATCTGATGAATGATAACATGGTCTCTCATTTTGGGAGAATTATGCGGTGGTGTGAAAAGCATTAAATAGATTTATCACCAAAATTAACCCTGCAGCTAAGAGAGGAAGAAGAGAGGAAAACCCCAAAGATCTCTTCAGCGTCCTATGGATGGGGACTCTCCCTCCAGAGAATAACCCCTTCCCCACCCACCTTCCTGTCCTCTACGCCAGAAGTCGCCTCAAGCAAGGTTAGTGCTCTCTTCACACTGTATTGTACAGTACTTTGTTTCATGTTTTGTGATTAAAAATGCATATGGTTCAGAATAGATGACCTTATTTACATTGAAATTTGTTTTATTGGTCTGCATGTTGATTTTTAATTTTATTTTAAAGAGGAAAAAATAGAATGTCAAAACAAGGTAACTGGAAGGTAACAATGGCTAATACATTGCATACTGTTATCTTTAAATTACTCAGAGTACAAGATATTGATATTTAATTGTCCAAACATTAGCACAAATCGTTCTTTTCAATTTCTCTTGAGAAATTAGTAGTATATCTTTTTTTTTTTTTGTCTTTTTGAGACAGGGTCTTGCTATGCAGTTCAGGCTGAGCTTGAGCTCACTTCATAGCTCAGGCTGA